GAGATAAGCAGATACAAGGGGAAATAAGGTTCCAAAAGCAAGAACCAACAGCTGAAATTATATAGGGACTTGAGATAGTATAATAATCAGACATAGACTGAAAAACTAGGATGTTATAATGTTTTGGATATGGAACCAAGGTTGAAAATTTTGGCAGGGCTTTTCAAGAACTGAAGAAAACCAAACAAACATGAGTCACTAGCAGTCAGATAAAAACCACATTACCCGGGGCTGGCCCGGTGGCGCAGCAGTTAAGTGCACACATTCCGCTTTGGCGGCCTGGGGTTCGCCGGTTCGGATCCCTTGTGCGGACATGGCTCTGCTTGGCAACCTGTGCTGTGGTAGGCGTCCCACATAGAAAGTAGAGGAAGATGGGCATGGATGTTAGCTCAGGGCCACTCTTCCTCAGCAAAAAGAGGAGGATTGGCAGCAGTTAGATCAGGACTAATCTTCCTGAAAAAAAACAACCCAAAAAACAACACTTTACCAGCCCTGCAGAAATCCTGTCATGTTCTCCTCTAGTCACTGTTCCTGCAAGGGCACTCACTCTCCGGACTTCTCATAGCATAAATTAGTTTTACCTATTTTTGTCCTTATTTAAATTGATGTCTACCTTTTGTACTCTTTTTTATTTGCTTGTTTCACTCACTGTTATATATGTGAGATTCATTCACATTGGGCACCCCCAAAACAATTACGATAGTCACATCAAAGATCACTGATCTCAAATCACCGTAACAAATATAATAATAATGACAAAGTTTGAAATATTATGAGAATTACCGAAATGTGACATGGAGACACGTAGCGAGCAAATGCTGTTGGAAAAATGGCGCTGATAGACTTGCTCAATGCAGGGTTGCCACAAACCTTCAATGTGTAAAAACTGCAGTGTCTGTGAAGCACAATAAAGTGACACACAATAAAATGAGGTATGCCTGTAGCTTTGAGGTATAATTTGAAATCATGAAGTGTGATGTCTCCAGCTTTGTTCTTTTTTCTGAAGATTGATTTGACTATTCATTGCCATTTGTGGTTCTACATAAATTTTAGGGCCATTTTTTCTATTTCTGTTTTTAACTGCCATTGGAATTTTGATAGGGATTGCATTGAAACTATAGGTGGCTTTTAGTAGTATGGGCATTTTAACAATATTGAGTCTTCCAATTCATAAACACAGGATATCTTTCCATTTATTTGTGTCTTTTTAAACTTCCCTCATCAATGTTTATAATTTTCAATGTACAGACCTTTCGGCCTCTTGGTTAAGTTTATTCCTAAGTATTTTAGTCTTGTTGACGTCATCATAAATGGGATTGTTTGCTCAATTTCCTTTCAGATAGATCTTGGTTGGTGTACAGAAACACTACTGATTCTTGTATGTTAGTTTTCTATCCTGAAACTTTACTGAATTTGTTTATTAGTTGTAACAGTTATTTTTTTTAGTGGAGTGTTTAGGATTTTCTCCATATAGGATCATGTCACCTGCAAACAGATCATTTTAGCTCTTCCTTTCTGATTTGAATGCCTTTTCTTTCTTTCTTTTTTTTTGTCTTACTGCTCTTGCTAGTACTTCCAGTACTATTTTGAATACAAGTGGTGAGAGTGGGCATCCTGATCTTATACCAGATATTAGAGAAAAAGAATTTCATTTCCCTCAATAATCATGATGTTCGGTCTGGGCTTTTCATAAATGGTCTTTATTGTATTGAGTTAAGTTCCTTCTATGCCTGATTTGTTGAGATGTCTTAATCATGAATGGATGTTGAACATTGTTAAATGATTTCTGTGTATCTATTGAGATGATTGGTTCTTTGTTTCACTCTGTTAATGTGGTGTATGACATCGATTTATGTATGTTAAGTCAACTTTTCACACAATGGATGAATCCTACTTGGTCAGGGTGTATAATATTTTTGATGTAGTGTTGATTTTGGTTTGCTATTGTTTTGTTGAGGATGTTTGGGTGTATGTATATCAGAGATACTGGTTTGTAGTTTTCTTTTATTGTCTTTTTATGACTTTGGTGATGATGGCCTCATAAAATAAGTTTGGGAATATTCTCTCTATCTCTATTTTTTCAAGAGCTTAAGAAGGATTGGTATTAATTATTCTTTGAATGTTTGCTAGAATTCACCATCTGGTCCAGATGAAGCCATCTGGTCCTGGGCTTTTCTTTTTGGGGAGGTTTTTGATTGTGGATTCAATCTCCTTTTTTGCTATTGGTTTGTTCAGACTATTTCTTCTTGGTTTGGTCTGGGTAGGTTGTATACGTCTAGTGATTTATTTATTTTCTCTAGGTTATCCAATCTGTTTGCAGAAAAGTGCTCAAAATAGTCTCTTATGATCTTTTTGATTTCTGAGGCATCCATTGTAATGTGCCCTCTTTCACTTCTGATTTTATTTGTTTGAATCTTTTCTCTTTTTTTCTTAGTTTAGCTAAGTTTTCTTGATTTTATCTTTCAGAAAAACAGCTCTTAGTTCTGTTTATTTTTTCTATTCTCTATTTGATTTGTTTCTGCTCTGATCTTTATTATTTTCTTTCTTCCACTAACTTTGAGCTTAGTTTGTTCTTATTATTCTAGTTTTTTTGAGGTGTAAAGTTACATTGCTTCTTTGAGTTCTTTCTTCTTTTCTGATGTAGGTGTTTATCACTATTAACTTCCCTCTTAGTACTGTTTTTGCTGCATCCCATAAGTTTTGGTATGTGGTGTTTTCATTTTCATTTTGTGAAAGATCCTTTAAAAATTATTTTTGATTTCCTCTTTGACCTAGTGGTACTCAAGAGTGTGGGATTTAGTCCATGTTTCTATGAATTTTGCCATTTTCTTGCTGTTATTGATTTCTAGTTTCATTCCATTGTGTTCAGAAAAGATAACTGGAGTGATTTTGATCTTAAATTTGTTAACTGATTTGTGACCTAAAATGTAATCTATCCTAGAGAATGTCCCATGTGCATTTGAGAAAGATGTGTATTCTTCTGCTGTTGAGTGGAATGTTCTGGATATGTCTGTTATGGCTGTTTGGTCTATAGTGTTCAAGTCTGGTGTTTCTTTATTGATTTTCTATCTGGCTGTTATAACCATTATTGAATGTGAGGTATTGAATTCTCTCACTCTTATTGTATTGCTGTCATATCTCCCTTCAGATCTGTCATTATTTGCTTTATATACTTAAGTGCTCTGTTGTTGCATGCATATATATTTACAATTGTTATATATTCCTGTTGAAGTGACCCTGTTATCATCATGTAATGACCTTCTTTGTCTTTAGAGACAATTTTCTGACTTAAAATCTACTTTACCTGAGAGAAGAGTAGCCAATATTTCTTTCTTCTGGTTACCATTTACATGGAGTAGCTTTTTCCAATCCCTTCACTTTCAGCCTATATGTGTCTTTAATTGTAAAGTGAGTTTCTTGGGTGACTTCAGAAAATGGCCGAATAAAACATCTTTTGCTCACATCCCCCCTCAACAACAACAATTTGGCATCCATCCCCAAGGACAAAAGTGCCTTTGTGGGAGCTGTGAGATCTAGTGACATACACCAATGCCCAGCTCTGCATTAAGTAGTAGGCATACAGACTTTGGTCCTGGTTGCACACCATGAGGTGGCCTGTGAACCAACTCCTGTCCTTTTCAGACATGATCTTGGAGACCCTGGAGAACACTATCTTGGACAATCACCCACAGATGAAAGATCCTTTTAGGAAGTCTAGGTTCCCAGTGGAGAAGTTCTAGCACACGGTTGGAGCAAAAAAATATGAGTTTGGATGTATTGGAGAATTAGAGGGAAATATGGGATGGTGCAAATCTATTATTTTAAGTTTAGTAGGTAAATTTTTGCCTTAAATTTAAGTACCCAATAAGCATGGTTTCAAAGGTAGGCGAAATCTTCCCTGCATATGAATCCCACTAAGTAGGTGATCCTATATTAAACCCCACAATGTTCTCCCAAAGAATGATGTAAGCATGGGATCCTTCTAGTTACACAGTGCAGGCCGTAGGCAATTCCTTATCAGCAGTTCTTGAGAGTGAATGCACATTATCTGCTGCTGCTTAGCTTTAATTTTAACAAGGCCTACCACCACAATGGCTAACATTTATTGAATACATAATATATACTAGGAGTTACCCCTTTACATGCTTACGTGCATATCTCACTTAATTGTCACAAACAGTGCTTTACACGTATTATAGTCAAACTTCCTGACAACACAATGAAGTAGTTTATACTTGCTTTGAAAGGTTAAGTAATTTCCCAGGGTCATACAGCTTACAAGTGGCAAAACCAAAAGTTGAACTTGCTTCAGTCTTACTCTAGAGCCAATGCTGTCTACCACTTTGCTATACCACCTTTTATTGTCAGAAGACAGTGTGCAAGCTTACTGTAAGGTAAATAGGTCAGCTGGCTATCAACACTTGACTTCCACTGGAGAAGATATTATCTACAGTCATCACAACCTATATCACTGCAACATTCAACCAGATATCTAAAGGGAAACAGGCAAGAGTGAAAAGAAGCACCTAGTAATGGCTTTTCATTTTCTTATAGGATCTTTTTGGTTAAGATGTACCTTATTGTACCTATATTTGCCACAACTTTTACTGACTTAGCTTACCAAGTCCTTTTTGGTAACCATCAACAATAATCAATATATTACGAAAATATAGGCCTGAGTTGATCTTGGGAGAAATAAAGAATAGTGTGGTCTAACTGTGGACCATGTAAGTTATGAACTGGTGATGGTGGACATCAATGCGAAGATAATTAGTTTGAACTTTATTCTGTAGGTGGATTAAACCTCTGGAGATTTTTGATAGGGTAGTGGTGATGGTGATATAACCATTTTCTATGAAAATTAATATGATCATGGTGAGGAGAATGGCTGAACAGGGAGAGACTGGGGACTGAAGACCATCTAGGAGGGAGTTTCAATCATTCAGGTAGGAGATTATGAAGTGTCTATAAAATCACTCTTTCCTGGCTCCTAACATGATTGCAACCGTGCCAGTGGGATTTGTCACATATTAGCAGTGCCAGGTGCTATGCCAAGTGGAACCACTGGGACTGCAAAGATGAAACTGACTTGGAAAAATTTGTCCCAGAGATAAAAATGAAGTTTTCATGTGAAATTTAAGGTTGCAGGAGGAATGTAGATCTTGGATGCCTGGTCAAATATTGCAGGAGCTCTACATAAGACTCCACCCTCACCAAACCCTTTCCAGTCCTAGTTTCTATTCTTTCAGCTTGGGGGCTTTACAGACATGGGGAGTCCAGTGTCAAAAACACTATGGGTGGGGATCCAAGTCACCAAGGTGACTGTGATGGTGGGGAAAGTTATCTTTCCCTGGAGTTTACTCTTGGCCACATACAACAGCACAACCAGATATCCCCTTATTTTGGTCATGAGCTGCCCCGTGTTGTTTCAAAAGTATTCAAGCACATCCTTTATTATGTGATAAATTTGGATGGCTATGATTTTAGAACATTATTATCATAAGGACTTAATCTAATTATGTTGACTTGATGATGGGGTTGTTCTGATGTAGTCCTGGTGCTCAGGCATGAATTTTTCAAGTTTAGATCACAGGTCCTGGAAGTGAGGTCTCCATGGTTTCTCCCTTTCTCATTCTTCACTACTTAATGTGGTGGATGCAATTAGTTGGAAACCCCCATACTGGTTGTGAAGTCACTACCACTAATGGAAATGAATTTTCCTAACCCGAATTAGCTTTCTCAGGGAAGACTTGATGTCTCTGTTCCGCAAACTATAGATAAAGGGATTTAGCATGGGGGTTACTACTGTGTACATCACTGATGCAACTGTGTCTGTCTCTGCTGAGCGGGTTGAAGGTGGACTGAAATAAACACAAAAGGAAGTTCCAAAGAATAGAGAGACCACAGAGAGATGAGAGCTGCAGGTGGAAAAGGCTTTTCGCTTTCCCTGAACCGAAGGGATCTTCAGGATGGTTGAGAAAATGTATGCATAAGAGATAGTCAGGCAAAGCACACAAACCAGGCCCACAAGACCCCCAATGGTGAAGATCACCAGCTCATTGATGAAGGGGTCTGTGCAGGACAGACTCAGAAAGGGGTTGATGTCACAGAAGAAGTGTGGGATCTCGTGGTTTGCACAGAAGGATAGGTTGTTCATTAGGAGTGTGTGTAGGAGAGAGTGGAGGGCATTCATGATCCAGGATGCAGACACCAGGAGGACACAGAGCTCAGGTCTCATGACCATGATGTAATGGAGTGGGTGGCATATGGCCACATAGCGGTCGTAGGCCATGACAACCAAGAGGCATGCCTCCAGCATCACAAACAGCATGAAAAAATACAGTTGTGATAGACACCCTGCATATGAGATAACCTGATTCTGGGTCCATATGTTTGCCAGCATCTTGGGGACTGTGGTGGACACAAAGCAGCTGTCAGCGAGGGAAAGGTTGGCCAAGAAGAAGTACATAGGGGTGTGGAGTTGAGCATCAGTGATGATGGCCAGAATGATGAGGAAGTTTCCCATCACGGTGACCAGGTACATGGACAGGAACAACCCAAAGAGGACCTCCTGCTGCTCTGGCTGTTCGGAGAGCCCCAGGAGGAAAAATTCTGAGACGCTGGTCAGGTTTTCCCATCCCATTTGTCTGTAAGCAGAAAGTTGGGTTAACTGAATGAGGTTGATAAGCCCTGGATGAACTCTGAAAATTACGCAACGTTCCAATGTTGATCTTCTTGTATGAGGTTGAATCATATGACATATCCAATATTTAACTGCTCGCGACCCACAAAAATGGCAGTTTCATAGAGTTCAACTAAATATTTGCAAATGCCTGTGCTTGGTGCCATGGGAAACCAAAGGTTTGTTTACAATGGGAGAAGAGGTTTTTTTTACTTTATTATATAAGTGTTAATCCAATAAGTATATTTTGTGGATAGACTGGAGGTGTTTGTTGGCCTGGCTCTTGTGGTATTCATGTGGACATTATGACATGAATCTATTCTAAGATTTCACAGTTCAAAAAACCTTTAGCATATTTTCCCAATACTTCAAAAAGCATGGCTATTGGAAAAGGGGTTGGGAATTGGTAAAAAGCATATTTAAGGCTAAAATCATTATCACCACTATCTACACAGCTGGCCTGGCCAGAAACTTGTGTGTTGTTACTGACCCCCATTTTTCTTCCTCCCTGCCTGTATCCAAATACCACCAAATCCTGGCAATTTACATTTTTCAATATAGCTAAAACTTACCCATTTCTCTCTATTTACCCACTACTCTCAGTCCCAGCTGCCACTACCATTGTTCAGGGCACTATCATTTATCACTTAGATTTGGGCAGTTGTTCCCCATGCCTCCAGGCCCACGTGCCATCTGGGCTCCTTACTATAGAGAGAATGAGCTTTCTAAAAATCGTATCTGATTTTATCACTCCACCTGAGAAATCCTTCAGGGGCTCCTCCTTACTCACAGGATAAACTCTAAACCCCTTAACACGGCCTGAAGGCCCTTGGTCATGCTGGCATTTGTTAGAGACGTTTCTAATTCCTCACAGATCTCCCTCCTCCACTCCACGCTCTATGCGCCAATTATACTTTCAATTATTTAAAATATTCAGATACCTTCTAAACTTTGGAATTTTGCCCATCTTATTTTCTTGGGCTGGAATAGTCTTCCTCCTCTAGTCATCAGACAAGCCAAACTTAAGATCTGAGCTTAACTGTCACTTCTTCTAGGAAGCCTTCCCTGGCTTGCTGTCTCACAAAACACTCACGTTCATGCTCCTCTTGCCCCTGCGCCTCCCACATCACAGCATGTGTCACTCCAGATTGTGACCGTCTGTTTACTTGCCTGTGTCCTCCTTTCTACTTCGAGCATCATTGAGACTGGACAGAAAAGGTGCCTATCTTATTAATTTTTGAAATCTAGCATTACCTCTGAGCCTGATACAACATAGTGCGGAGTAAGCATCCATCATTTGAGTAAATAAACTCTATAGAATAGAAAGAATGGAAAGGAAGATTGGATGGAGGTAATATCAGGCAGAGAGAACAGCCTGAACTTTTTGTTAGTAGTTTCACACATAGCTTTGAGTTAATAAAGTCCTGGTCAGAGGACTATGTAGGAAACATGGTTACAGAGACATAAAGACATCAAACAATGCAGACGCTCTCTTTCTAGGTGAAATTCTGGGAATGAAACACGAATTAACTCAACAGAATTCATTTTCTACCATGTAACTTGTTTTCCTCCAAAGTGAAGCATGTTCTATGAGTCTGTTGGCTTTGGTTGCACTCACTGAAATGATTACTCACCGGGCAATAGTAGCATCTTGTGTCTTGTTCTCTCCATGGATGTTTCTCACCAAACTGTCTTCCTCTTGTGTGTAGATACCTTTGGACCTGTTGCATGCTGCTCACCCTCCTCATTAAAAAATCCATCAAAGGAAAAAATAGAAAGCCCAGAAACAGAGCACAGTATACTTTTAGATTTTGGCCTGCTAAAGGTGGCATGGCCAATCGGTAGGAAAGGGAAGAGAGATTAAACAAATGGTGTTGGGACAAGCTTTTTAACTCTTTGAGGAAAATTAATTTAGATTCACACCTCATAGTGTTTACTGCATAAATTTCACGTGGCTAAAGCATTATATCTAGAGATATGACTATAAAGCAAACAGAAGAAAATACAGCATAATAGTTATTTGATCTCAGGACAAGGATGACTTTTCTAAGTAAAAAACAATGGAAGCAAAAATAAAGGAAAGAAAATTAGTTCCATTAAATTAAATTTTAAAATTCTTCTTTTAAAGAAAAAGAACACACACAAGGTAAAAGGCAAGCAAAAAAGTGGGAAGCTATTTTCAACGTTTATTATAAAAAGAATTAATATTCTTAAAAGAGTAGTTAATAATTTTAATTAATAAGTAAAGGACACCTCCCAATAAAAAAATGAATAAATAATTGCTGACCCTTAGGTCATATCCAGCAAAGGCAGAACCTGCATCTAGCCTCAACTGTTTAATTCCAAGACTGTGTTCTTTCCACTCCCATGTGGTCTCCTTAAATCACCATACTTTGTCTGCTAGCAGCTGAAATCTCCAAGGTCACCTGCTTGTGTGCAATTGGCCAAAATGGGTCATAATAGATGGCGTTTCTCCCACTCTCTCTCTCGAGTCCCCACACTACTCAGGGCCTCGTTTATTAAATTCTGTATTCTCCAAACCCTCTAGACAGGGGTCTTGGTGCAGTGTGTGGATTAGTAGGGCTCAGTGCATATTTGTACATAACTGCAGTGGTTGAGCTCTCCTGAGGGCCCTTCCGAGCACAGTCACTTCCATGGTTCTCTGGTTTCAACAGTGAGTGTTTTTCCCCCTGCTCAGAGCTGACCCTCGCCCCTCCCTCGCTCAATACAGAGAACTCTTGTTGACTTAAGGCAGACTGAAAAGGCCTCAGAATCTCCACTCTCAACCTTGTTGCTTGACCATTTCTGGCTCAGCAGAGGCAGAAACCCCAGCCCCGATTCCACAGCCAGCTTTTCTCTTAGCTCCCTGAGTCACAGACCAGAGACCTTACTTTCTCCTTTCTTTCCCTGTTTGCTAGTTTAGGCCCAATTTTTAGGCCATCCCTCACTGTAGGAATACCCAGCACTTTATCCAAACGTAAAACTCATTCAATGCATTGTCCTTCCTTTCCACATGGGGTCAGTAGGCATTTTTCCAGGCTTGTGATAAAATATAAATCCTACAATTCAAAACAAATTCGTTCTTATATTTTATATTAGCTGTGTGCTGTTTTAACACATGAATTTTCTGTGGCTGATTGGCTATAATTTTCGGTGAACTTAACTTGGCTGTCCTCTGGGCTCAGGTTCAAATTTGAAAATGAAAATGAAAGTTAGAGAACTCGTTTTCTCCACTGATGAGGAAAGAAACATCCGAAGAGGAAAGAAGTAAAAATTTAAGGTTAAAAACAGAGGGAATATGGTGGTTGTGGGGGACTGAGTGATCAGGACATATCTCAAACTCCTGTTCCCATATTGGTCCCAAGGATAAACATTTTAGTCCCACCTCCCCAAATAAGGTATATTTTGTTGGCTAGTATGTTTGTTAAAGGAAACCAATAACAGCGATTTCTTGTTAGAGGTATGGGAATTGGGTAGCTGAGGTACAGGACGGGGAGGGAGATTTTCATGTGTACCTTTTAGCACATTTTGAAGTTTGAACCATGTGAATGTACAACTTATTGAAAAATAAATTGATTAAGGAAACCATTCCCCCAAACCAAACCATGGGCTCATAAAATGTAGAAAATGAAGACAATGCAGTATAATGCAAGCTCTCTTTGCTGGAGATTCCGTAAATAGCAGAGAAACTAGTTTGGCTGGAGCCACATTCTTTTAATGCCTTAATGCAACATGTGGCATGAGTGTATATGTTCATGTGTTTGTGCCTGTGTGCGGGTGTGTGAGTGCACATGTGTCTCCTGTAGAGGCTGGAGGTTGAGTGAAAGGGAATTATTTGGAGAGAAGTCACTGTTGACTCCTGTGCTCTGTTCTTAGGGCTCAATGACTTTCATTGTCTGTAAGATTTAAAAAACCTGGGTCTCTGCCTCTTTTGGCCACTAAGCAGCACAATAGCATCATTGTTGTTAAAGGACTGTTTGTGAGAAATAGGTTCCCAACTGGCCACAGGGTTGGGTGGGCAGAGGAGAAAGGGGAGAAAAAAGGAGCAAAATGGGGAGTCTGTATCTTCCTCTCTCGGGCCTTACCTGGCTGTTCTTGCCAATCACTGAGGGTGTTACTGGCAGGCTTCTGTCTGCTTCACATACATTTCTCCTCTTGTGAATAGTTAGAAGAAGGTGACAGGAACTCCTTTTAAAGGCACGAAAAGGAAATTTGCTTCATGCTCTGGACATGTTGAATATTGATTCTTGCCATCACTGCATCTGCTCAAATTTCTCCTTTTGTCTCACAGTATTAGGGAAATTTTATTTTCGTGCAATCTGAGAAAGAGGGAGAAGAGCTCTAGGTTAAAATTATGATCACGCCATTGTATATCGTCCCGGGCAGCTGCATTCACAGAACCACGTAGAGTCTAATGACAACCATGTAGCATCCTTCTTCTTTTTATTTCAATATTTGCTGCTAACGTCTGTCCCTTTTAGTCGTTCACAGAACCCATGGAAAATGTGTTCTTGTAATTTCATCAGCACCCTTGGTATTAAGGTTCTGCTATTCTTAGCTGTAGATTGGACAAATCTCAAGATCTGTTAAATTGAAGATAATTAATTCTGCGAGGTACCCCAAAACCCAAGAGGATTGAGAATCCAGTGCTGTGTCCCTGCTGTGAGCTGGTCCAGGAGAGGCTAAGGCAGTAGGGACCTGTCCATGACACCTCTGTGGTCTCAGCAGGATCCTAGCATGCCATTCACCAGCAAAGCAGCTAAATGTGCTTCAGTCGCTTCATTTAACGTTGTGATTTTTTTCTGGGACTCTTCAGGGAAGTGTAGATAGAGGCCTTTAGCACCATGAAAAAGGTCAGATGAGGTGACCCACTGTTGGCTCAGAGAGCACTTTACCATCTTGTCTTCTTCTAGACATGGTAATCCTGGTCCAGGTTGAGGTTATGTTGGAGCAGTCTCACTTGAACTACTTCTACTTCCTTTTGGCCGGGGAGACCAGAGGTAAGAAGCTGGGCATTACTTCTCAGGGCAGGTGCCAGCAATCAGATTTTTTTCCTTAAAGACGTTGCATGAACAGATCTATGGGGCAAGTGGAAGCTGAAGAGACACACAGCAAATGGAATGTCTTCTTTCTCCTGTAGAAATGGTCACATAATAGCCCCTGTTCTCCAAGTTAATCTAATTAAGTACCCAGAGAAAAAAATACAGAATATGGGTGATCTGGGAATATGGATTATTCTTGGAGTCTCTTTGGGACAGTGATCAATTTCTTGTGTGTTCTAGAAGTGCTGGTATTATATACCCTTAAATCAGTAATCTAGTAGTTTAAATAGATTATTCCATTTTATTGAAAAAAATAACAACCACGTAATTCCATTCTGAAAAAAGTCTGGTTTATTTTTTTACCATGGACAAAAGGAAAAGAGTGAACTGCTCCTTTAAGAAGGGCATGTAACACAGCTTGAAAGATGTGGTATTTGATGTTCAGGATCCACTGACCAAAGTGGAATGGCAACTGGCAAAGCTGAATGGACAGAAATTGAGAAGAGAGTGATGGAGGCGTTGAAGCTAGAAAAGTGATATGTGTTGAGTCCATCTTCCTATACCACGCCCTCTTTTCTTAGAATCTGGGGAAGTAGAACATGAAGAGAGCCCAAATCAAACTCCTATTTCCTCAATTTGACCAGATTAACGTCTCCAAAGACTCTTAGCTTTCTTTCTCAGTCCTATACTTAGAGAGGCATAACATGGTCACAAAAGACTACAAGTTCTGGAGTCAGGTAGCCTGGGACTTAATTCAAGCTGTGTGAACCTGGAAAAGTTTCTTAAGTTCTCAAAGCCCCAGTTTCCTCATTTCAATGCCCTCTAAATCACT